ATGGTTGCCATTAAATTCTCAACTTCTCGGTCTTCCTGATCTGCCAGTAATTTAGCATGAGCAGCAGCCGCCCCAAGAGTTGTTGCAACAGCAGCTCTAAGACGCAAAGATAGAGGTATGTCATTCTGCCATGCAGATGCCTCCTCAGTTCCTGTCCAAGATAGACATGTGAAGAGACCGGAGGATTGGTAAATATATATTCACTATATAAACAATAGGAGAAAGCTGGCCAACATAGAGAAGTTAGTGATTTGGTTGATGTGGATTATTAGCAAGTTGCATATAGAGTCTAGTGCAAGCTAAACTATTAGCAGTCTAGAATGCCATACTTTGTGATATGGTTGATGTGGATTACTAGCAAGTTACACGGAGGGTCTATTGCAAGCTAAACTATTAGCAGACTAGAATGCCATACTATCAGGCATGTAGCAAAGTGGATATGCCCCCACCTCTCCCCACAAAAACACATGCAAACATTCACAAGAAAAATGGCAAATGTACCTAAACAAGCATGTTGAGCAAATGAAAATGAAATCAACAAGTGAACAAAACATAAAGAAGCATATGATAACAATAAGAACAGGCAGATACCCCTCCAACAAAGTTCTTGGGATATCATCCAGTCGATTTTTTGCACAGTTGCATTGTATCAATTACCTGACTGAGTGGGTGTTTGCTTCACCTCTGAGGCATCAACCTCGTCAACTCTAAAAAAGAAAAATGAACAGAAAACTTTAACATGTATCAATAAGGCAGGGGCAAAACAATAATCACAGGAACAGCAGAGGATAAAAATCACATCAATAAACAACCTCTTCGACTTGGAATGGAAGGAGGGAGAAGAAAACCCATTAGAAGGAAAATCCTCTTCGCCATCAAATATCTCTCTTGGACATGCAGTTTCATCACAAAGTGCTGCAACAGCAGCCTCAGCTGCAGCAGCTGTGATATCTGGGCCAACCATGGTTGAGATGAGAGCTACCTAATGAAAAAAATCACCAATTGCATGGTCAAACATAAGCTAAGATGAAAAACACTACAATTGAAACATATCCTAATTAACAAAATCAGATAAACTATTGAAGGGTGTCAACAAGAAAGTCTGGTAAGAAGTTAAAAGCAGTAGGATTTTGTAGTGGTGAATTCTACCTGTTTCATCAGAGAGCCGCCAGCATCTGAAACAGAAGTGATGCGTCTTCTTTTCAAAAGGGGACCATCATCCATGACATCTCCCTTCTCCTCATTTGCATTCATCTGCTCATGCAATTGATCTTCATGTTTGGTATCATCTTGATGCTCAGATGGAGCTGCAGGAACTTGTATTGAGTTGTTTGTGCTCCCAATCTGTCCACTAGAATTGCCCTTTCCATATGTAGAACTCAATAAAAGATCCCCAAATGGCAGCTCAATGAGCTTAGAAATACAATCAAGTTTAGTCTTGGTTTTAACATTTTGAGCAACCAGGTCCCAGTCATTCCCATGCCTCGAAACAGATTCTAAAAGACGCAAAGTCTCCTCCTCAGTCCACACAGCTGCATTGCTAGCACTATCCTTAAGCTTGAAATCATCCTTAGACTTGTTCTCGCCATAACTTCCATCATTAAAGCATTTTTGACAGATTAAGTAATCACCCTGCAAATTCAATCGTTAGAACAAGAAAATAAAATCTGCACTCCCACAGAAGGAAATAGAGAGAGATCATTCCCAAATATAAAAATAGCAAAAATGGATAGGGTTGCCCAGAAGCACTGGTTGGTAAATGCCTAATTGAAGTGAATGATTCCAGATATTTAAGAAGAGAATTATCTGCAGTCTCACCGCATCTAACAAATCCACAATGCCACAAAGTTCATATCACCTAACTTAATGACAGGGACAAGAGAACAGGCTGTGTTAAGTCCAAACATGCACCACTCTGTCAGGGTAAATAAAGCTGCTTTCTAGGTGACCAAGATTATCTACTAGCATACCTAAACACAGTTGTTTAGCCACTCTTCTCTTTAACTAGCTTAGACACAGAACACCATACAATTCAGAAAGGTAAAATCTACTGAGTCAATGGTCTGAAGTCCTAATCTAGCATATATTCTCAAAATTACAGTCACATTACAATATGAAAAACAGTCAACGCACCAAACCAACCACTATATCTTAACAAATTGAACAACACAAATGAACCTACAATAGAATGATGAACCGAAATATTCCATGGCAAAAAAGTGCACAAAGAAAATTTTCGCATACAATGTGATAATGAATTCACAACTAAGACCCCAAAAGATAAACAACCCGAACGCAATAAACCAACATAAAATCAAATGCCACTGCAATCAAACCAGAATTTCAATTACCTTACTATACTCGTATTGGCCGGAATCACAACTTCCACCACAATTTCCACAAACAACCTCTTTCTTCTTCCCAACTAACTCGCCAAAAACATCCGAATAGGACGCCAAAGGCGGCAACTTCAACCCACTCCCACTCCCACCACCACCACTACCCTCTGCGCTACTTTGCACCGACCCCACCGAAATTGGTTTCAACTTATCAGGCATCTCCACAATCCGAACTCCGTTCGGAGCCCCGTCTTCAACCCGAACATCAACATTACCCGAACCCAAACCAATTTCCTCATTCTTTTCACAACTAAAATTAATCAATCCCCAATTATTCAAAAACAGAAAAACTTTATTCAACAAACTAACGTCACCAACCAGTGACTTTCGAATCTCCGTGAATGTTAACCTTCTGGAAGGATCTTCACGGTACTTGTTGATTATAAAGTCTCTGTATTCTTTGTAGATTTTTGGAGTTCTCGTTATTGAGCTCCCATCGAAGAATTCTCTTAAAGCGACTCTCTCTGTCTCGTGAATATCGTGCCATGAAAACCAACCTGAGAAAAATACCAAGAAAAGAAAAGAAGATTTTGTAGATTTTCTGGGAAAGTTTTTTTTTTTTTTTTACGGGAAACAAAAGGAGAGATATGGTTTTGTAACACAGAGAAGAGACGACTTACTTGAATAGCTGGGGATGGTGTAGAGGTCGAGCTCTGGCTCGTTTGGTCGGATCGGGTTTAGATTCGGGTCGGAGTGTGCTGTTGGCTCCATAATTTTGGACATGAGTGGTTTCGTGTTTGGTTTTTATAAATTTGTGAGATTTTTAATTTCGGGAGATTGGGATTGGGTGTTTCGGTGACAGGAGGTGGTGGCTGGTTGCGTAACTGACCAGTAAGGGTGTGAAAAGTGGAGGATCATTGAGGAGTTCTTTTGGAAAAACCTCAGTTGTGCAATGGATCTCGATCTAGGATCCAAACTTCCTAAAACTTTTCAATTGAGACCTTTTATATAAATTCATCTAATAAATAAATCAATAAACAAGACGGAAATTTCTTATAAATTCTATGACGGTGAAGTTGTGACTTCTGGTTATTTATAGCATATTTTTTAAATAATTTATTGAATTATTATCACTTTTTAGCAGGTTTGATGTCATTTTCCATCTCTTTTATACATTATATTCAGTAATTATAGATTTGTGTATGAAATTTCTCACAAACACGTGTCCTGGAGAGAAATGCCGAGTCCTGTCGGGTTGGGCCCTTTCTGTCAAGTCGGGTTGGGCCCTGTTGAGAAAGGCCTGTAGACTTGGGCCGTGACGAGATTGAATAATTAATCTTGAAATAATTCAATCATAGGCAAATAGTTTCTGAACACATTTTGAGATCGAAATCATGTCCCTGTGTTTACTACGTTTAAGTTTCCATATACTTCAATGACTAGCGTGTATTTAATAAAAACTAGAGGAAAAGAGTGGAGTGTTTTTTGGAGTTGCGTGTTTTATTAGAATTTGAATATTTTTTTATTTTTTTAAAAAAATTATTTTAATGTGTTAATATAAAAAAATAATTCTAAAAAAATATTATTTTAATATATTTATAAATAAAAAATATTTTAAAAAATAATTACCGCCTCTTCTAAACATTTCTAAATGTATTCATGGAGCTCCGAAGTTGAAGCATTTTTCTACTTGCATGACGTGGCCTTGTACTAATCATGAGATTTTAATGTGTCTTATAACGGATGATATAAAACATTAATACAAGAGCAATGTAAATGTATAATGAAATTTTATATTTCAAGAATAACATTAAACTGAAAAATAAACCACCTTTAACTTATCTATTTTTTAAAATAGATTAATTTTACATTAAAATTATTAAAAATTTATATAATCATTAATTTTAGAAACTATAAAATTAATTAAGCTCTATACAAACTGATCTAAACACTTAAATTAATTAAAAAAATTAATTTCATAAATAACTATATTTAGTACATCCTAGATATTGAAAGAAGATGCCGAAGTAATAGGTATATTTTATGATATCATAAAATTTATTAATTAAATATCATAAAAAAAATTATGTGTGTCTTTAATATAATAAATTATAAAAAATATAACCAAATAAATTATAAAATGAGCTGTGAATGCTAAAATAAAAAATTAATATAATTTGTAAAAATAAAATATAGATAAACATGTAAATATTTTGTAATCATAGACAACAAATTAATAACTATGCTATTTAATAGTAATATAGGTATAATAAAACGTGGAGTGGAGAAAAGAACGAAGATAAGGAATCATTTTCAAAGTCAATCATAATCATGAGAAAATAAGAATAAATGTCCAAAAAAGTTTGAAGGATTTAGATTATAGAAGAAAAAAAATTAGATCCAAACAAGCACGGTCGTCGCAATATTCCTTCCCAATGAAACAAATTAACTTGTTCCCCGTCATTTACAAGATGGTAGAAAAATATGCTGTCATTTACATGATGAATCAAGACGAAATTATCTGCCATCTGAAAACTTCAGTACTATCCAGCTTTGTTGAATCCATTGCCAGCTTGACACTGTGTGTGTGTGTGTGTGTGTGTATAGACAACGTCGAGCACATGCACCCAGAAAAACAGACCTCTTGATCAGTAAACAAGAATGGAGTTTTTAATGTTGCTCATCACCCTTGTTGTTCTCCAAGCTATTTCCCCCTCTCATGCATCAATCCAAGCAGCCCCTGCAAACTCAAACCTCTTCCGTGAATACATTGGAGCCGAGTCCAATAATGTCAGATTCACCGATGTTCCTATCAGATCAGATGTTGAATTCCATTTCATCCTTTCTTTTGCCATAGACCATGACACCTCGAATTCTCCTTCTTCCACCAATGGAAAATTCAACATCTTTTGGGACTCCGATAATCTAAGCCCTTCTCAGGTTTCTTCTATCAAGAACCGCCATTCCAATGTCAAAGTTGCCTTGAGTCTTGGAGGGGATAGCGTAGAGAATGGCTATGCTTACTTTAATCCTTCCTCGGTTAATTCCTGGGTATCTAATGCTGTTTCTTCACTCACACGGGTCATTAAGCAGTATAATTTGGATGGGATTGACATTGATTACGAGCACTTTCAAGCTGATCATGATACATTTACGGAGTGCATAGGACAACTCATTACAACCCTTAAGAGGAATGGGGTCATCTCATTTGCCTCTATAGCTCCTTTCGCTAATGGCCAAGTTCAAAGCCATTACCTGGCCTTATGGAGGAAATATGGGCATCAAATAGACTATGTCAACTTCCAATTTTATGCATATGATCAGGATATCTCAGTATCCCAGTTTCTGGATTACTTCGAAACCCAGACTTCTAACTACAATGGTGGTAAAGTCTTGGTGAGCTTTATCAGTGATGGAAGCGGCGGGCTATCTCCATCAGATGGCTTCTTTACAGCCTGCAGTAAGCTTAAGAGTCAGAAGCAACTCCATGGGATTTTCGTTTGGTCAGCAGATGACTCCAAGGCCGAGGGTTTCCGCTACGAAAAGCAGTCGCAAGCCCTACTAGCAATTCATCACTAGTGTTGTTAATCAGCTTAATTTCCGTAAGTGATGAATTAAACTCCATGGTCATTTACCATTCCATGATTTTCTTCGATGTTTGTAATACTAATTACATTTCAGGTTCGTTTCTTTTATTAATGTTGATGTTGCTTGTTTGCTTGGTTGAATGTTAGACTGCTTGTTCTGTATTATTTCAGTAGACGTCTGCCTTTTCTGGCTCAAATCTGTTAGTAAAATGGAGCTCAACAATGACCATATGCTAGTGGGCACAACAAATCTCTCACTTAATACAAGATAGAGGCTTAATTTAAAATATAAATAATAACATAAATTATGCTATCATTTATGCCCCGTTCCTTTATATACTCATTAAATAGCTGAGAATGAGAGAAAGCTTGAGTGAGATTGAGTTGAGTTGAGAAGAGTGTTTTCTCCCCTTCTTTATTTGCATTGTTTTTTTTATCGCTTAATACAAACCAGTAGCTCCGTAAAGTAGGCAAGTTGTCGAACCACGTAAATTTATATGTGCTTAATTTCTGGAATTTCCTAATAACTAGTATCAGAGTATGTTCTTGAAAAATAAAGGTGTTTGATCCAAACTCGGAAATCAAAGTTCTCAAAATGTGTTTTTAAACATACCATTGTGTAGGAGACAACCGGATAAATCCACTGGTCAAACTCCAGCAAGGAATCGACATGCTACATGCCCACACGTGCTAACATATGCTGATATTAGGACTGTCCATGCATACACATGCACCACATGCTTCTTCTTCACCCAACTATCTGTAATTGAATTGGCTTGACCCGCCATGTCATCAACGAATCAGCAACCACAACATCCATTCCGTACAGTCATTTGCCACATCACCTGACCAATCAACAATCCACATCAACACATGCCACGTTAGCAATAATTACACACGACTATGCCACATCATAAAAGGTGGGTTCGGTTTGTTGATGTGTTTGACACATCATCAAAGTTATGTCATCATCTTACGTGTTGATCCGGTACATCGGAGATACTATTTCACCTGACATGCGACTTCATCTGCACCGTCTATTGATCCAAAAGTTTGATTGATCAGATCTAAGCTATCCAAAGTCTGATTTAGGTGATTTCAGAGTCATTTGCAACATTTCTGACCATTTCAAACACAATCGTGGATTCAAATTCAACAAATTCAAACTCTAAGATTAGCAAAAATGGCAGATGAAATAAAGGCTGTTGGAATTGAAAATTTTGATTGGACAGAATTTCAAATTGAAAACTATATAAATAGGAAGAAACTTCATCTTTCTTTATTATGGAGCAAACTAGAGAACATGCAAGATGAAGAATGGCTAATTCTTTATGGACAAGTTTTAGGCGTTATCTGACTATCCTTATCAAGAAAAGTTGCTCACAACGTTATAAAAAAAAATCCATTACAAGATTAATGGAAGTCTTGTCTAGGATGTATGAGAAACCATCAGCAAATAATAAAGCGCACTTGATGAAAAAGTTGTTCAACTTAAAGATGACAGAAGACACCTCTGTTACACAACACCTCAATAACGTTAATATCATCATAAATCAATTGTCATCTGTTGAGATTAAGTTTGATGATGAGATTTATGCATTTATTTTGCTAGCTTAAGTAGTTGGGAAGGTATGAGAACAACCGTAAGTAACTCAACCAGAAAATCCAAACTAAAATATGATGACATCCCAGATTTGATTTTGGCTGAAGAAGTATGAAGAAAAGATTCAAGTGAAAGTTCAAGTTCAGGGCCAACTCTCAACATTAACACTCGAGGGAAGAGACAAGATATAGGTTTATCCAGAGGCAAATCAAAATCAAGATACAAAAGTAAAAGCAAGTTTAGACCCAAAAAACAGGTTTAATGTTGGAATTGTGGCAAACCTGGTCATTACATAAGGAGTTACATAAAACCAAAAAAACCTTAGGCTGACTCTATGAACGCTATCATTAATGAGGTACAAGATGCGTTGATTACTATACAATGTCCAATTAATGATTAGATTCTTGATTTTGGTGCTTTATTTCACTATACATCACACCATGAAATAATGCAAAACTATGTTACTAGAGATCACGGTGTAGTCTATCTGCTTAATATACAACCAATGAATATTGTGGGTATAAGAGATGTGCAAATCAAGAAGATGAATGGATTTATATGAAACTTACAAAATGTAAGATATGTTCCTAGATTAAAGAAGAAAATGATCTCTGTTAGACAACTTGATGATAGCAGTCATTTGATCATTTTTTTTTTAGGTATATGAAAAGTATTGAAAGGAGCAATGATTTTGATTAATAGAAAGAAAACTGGCACCTTATATATGAACACAAGATTTGTAAACATTATTGCCTCTACTGAAGCAGAAAATCAGGTACAACTATAACATTGTAGACTCTACCATATGAGTCAAAAGGGGACGAAGATTCTTCAATTGAAAGGAAAGCTGCCAAAGTTAAAAAATATTGATACGAACATTTATGAAAGTTGTATTCTTGAAAAATAGAAGAAACTCAGTTTCTTAAAGGTTGGCAAGGCCTTAAAACCAAGAAAGCTAGAATTGGTACACACAGATTTATGGGGACCTTCTCTAGTGGCATTTCTTAGAGGTTATCGATATTATGTGACTTTTATTAATGATTTTAATAGGAAGGCATGTGTCTACTTTTTAAAAAATAAATTTGATTTGTTTGAAACATTCAAGAAATGAAAGGCTATAATTGAGACTGAATCAGTTTTAAAACTAAAATGCATGATATCTGATAATAGAGGAGAATACATTGATGGAGGTTTCAAGTAGTATTGCGTTGTTAATGATATAAGAATAAAAAAGACCGTTCCAGGTGTCGCACCCGACATCACGGCGGCCTTAAAAATAATTTAAATGGAATGGAAAGAATGGATTTCTGGCATCCTATTCTTTGATGGTGAATGATCTTTGTTTAAGGAGGGGCTAGCCCAGCCTGGCCACTGGCCCAAGCCAGTGTAAAGGAGGCCTCCTAATTGTGATAACGAATGAAGAGGAAATAGCGTACCTGTTCTGTATTTTTCTTCCCCTCTTTTAGCTTTTTCTCCCCCTCTGGTGTATGCTCTGCTCTGCCTTTTATAGAGCCGGAGAGCATGCAAAAACCAGTTCCCCTCTTAATCAATCCATGAGCGGGATCGTGGGCAAGAGATCGTGATGTCGTGGCCGTGATTTGCTGGAATGATCTCCGGATTTTCTCCCCTGTTGAATCGGTCTTCAGCTAACAAATGATGAACAGTATGACCCGAAACGACGTCATTTGGCATGACAAATGACAGATTGTAGTTTGGTCCCTGGTGTTTTGAAATGTATTAATTGGGTCCCTTAATCAAATAAATTTTTAATTTTACCCTTGGATTACTTTCAATTAAGTCCCTGAATTTATTTAATTAATTAAATCAAAGTTTAATTAAGTCCTCAAACTTCTTAATTTCCTAATTAAGCCCCTTTATTTAATTAATTAAACTAGTCAAGAGTTTAATTAATTCTTTAAACTTCTAATCATGTTGCCCTTAACCCAAATTTTAATTCACTCTTCATTTATTTTATTTTTACTTGTTTTTCATCAATTTTTGTAGATAACAAAAATCAAAAAATTAGGTTATGACACCAGGCACACCACAACAAAATGGCATTGTTAAACGGATGAACATTACCATCAATGAATGAGCTAGAAGCATGAGGTTACATTCAAGGTTACCTCTAATATTTTAGGCTGATGTAGTTTATACTGTAGTTTACTTGATCAACCATGGACCATTAGTTTCTTTGGAATTCAAATTACCTTAGAAAGTTTGGAATGGAAAAGAGGTACAACTCTCTCGTTTAAAAGTCTTTGGGAGTGTTTTCTTTGTTCATATAAATTTCGATACCCGCAACAAGCTGGATGCTAAATTCAAGAAATGTTTCTTCATTAGCTCTAGAGATGAAGAATTTGGGTTTCGGTTCTGGATGATTAGAATAGAAAGATTATCAGAAGTAGGAACGTGATCTTCAATAAGAAAGTTTTGTGCAAAGACATACAATTATAGAAATAGATATGGCTGATTCAGATACAATTTTATAAAAATCTAAATTTATAAGATTAGAAGGGCTTCTTGATGTTACCAAGCAGAATAAAAATCAAGAGCCTTTACAAGAAAATTCAAGAACATCGGTACCCACTACTACACAAGAAAATAAAAAGCCAAGTGAACCTATTGTTTATGTTCGCAAGTCTACAGGGACTGTAAAGCTCCCATAACGGTTCATACTTTTACTGAATTATATTTTACTGACAGATGGTAATGAACCGCAAACTTATAAAGAATCATTACAAGATGAAAACTCAAGCAAGTGAGAGTTAGTCATGAAGGATATGATAGATTCTGTATTGAAGAACAAGACTTGTGAGCTAACCACACTACTTGAAGGAAATAAGGCTTTGCAAAATAGGTGGGTTTATAGAGTTACGATTGAGCATGATGGAAGCAAGCGATTCAAGACAAAACTTGTTATAAAAGGGTTTTAACAAAAAAAAAAAGGATTGACTACTCTAATATATTTTCTCCAGTTATGAAGCTCACAACAATCAGAGTTGTTCTAAAATAGTAGCTGCAGAAAATTTACATCTTGAACAATTAGATGTAAAAACTGCATTTTTTCATGGTGACTTGAAGGAAGATATTTATATGCAATAACCAGAGGGGTATACAATACAAGGAAAGGAGAACTAAGTCTGCAAGCTAAAGAAAAGCTTATATGGTTTGAAGCAAGCTCCAAGACAATGGTACAAAAAGTTTGACAACTTCATGTGCAGTTCAGGGTACACAAGATGTCAAGCCAATCATTGTTGTTAGGTCAAATATTTTGACAACTCCTACATCATTCTACTATTATATGTAGATGATATATTGATTGCAGGTTTCAACATTGAGGAGATTGACAAGTTGAAATGGCAGTTGTCAAAACAGTTTGAAATGAA